ACTTAAAATGAGCTGCAAACAGAAAAAGGGGGACTGTCTTTCTTTATAAGCTCTCTTAAAGTAAAGTCTGCATTTAAAACATCTGCAGTTTCACGAACTGAACAAAATGCAAAGAAACAAAAATTGTCTGTTCGTGATCTCCTTTGCTACAGAGTTGTTTTTAAAAGGCAAATGTTAACACGTGTCGTTGCTTCTTCTTCTGCAAAGGTTCAAGAAGCGCGTTCTCATCGAACAGCTGGAAAACTTCCTCGAAGAGATCCACAACAGAGCCACTAACATGAACCACGTGGACACGTTCTAACGCGAACTCATTCCCAAACTGAACTTACTGGTAACCAAACCGGGCAACCCTCCACGTCCCCCTCAAACCACCACTCCTACTGTACCAGGGGCCCCTGCAGAGATGAGACGAGGCGGCATCCAGCTCCCAAAGCATCGCTTCTTCACTGGACTCCTTCATTCATTTAATGAGCATTATGCTTGTGTTGTTTGCACAGTAATCCTCAAAGACAGTACTGACCCTGAGTAATGCAGATGCATTTTTCAGACTTGCAAAAAAAAAAAAAGGAAAAAAAAGATGAGCGAGGAAGCACATATCGCTGCAGGTGTGAAGGTGAAGGCCTATGCAATGACGTGTTTGTCCTGTGGACAGTTTGTACAGGAAGGTTCTCTGAACCCGTCCTCAGATGTTGCCCTTTAATTATTCAGCTGCCCTCATCAGATTTTTCTTTTTAACAAATGTGAGTGGTTATCTCTCAGACAGGGGTGCTGAAGTAAACAAGGGCATCTCTGCAGAGGGTCAGATGGCAGCCTGTGTGTGGATGTAATGTCATGTGACAGTGTGACTGGACTGATAATATATAGGAAGGGTATATCGGCACGTGTGGTTGTATTTTCAGACAACTCAGGGTCAAATGGGATCCAGCGGAGATGCTCATGAGAGACTTTGCTCAAAGTCACGATTCAACTTATTATTTTCCCCCCTGTGGTGTTATTTCTGATTTGTGGAGGATAAGAGTCCGGCTGTTCACTTCTCAATTGTTAAAATTGACCGTCTGCTTTCCACCAAATGGATCGCTGAGCTCTCGAATCGGAACAATTGGGCTTGAAACATTGAATCTGATAACGTGTCGTCTTCCTGGCAGACTGATGCTATATCAGTAGTAGCTTAACTTTTGGACTAAACCACCAGTTCCTGTTCCCTTTGCGGGGCGGGGGGAGGGGGGGCGGCGAAGAAAACAGATCCACAGCGATCGTTGCATCTGGAGACAGTCAACTTTAAAAAAACAAAACTGTCTTTTGCAAAGTAAAGTCATCAATGCGGGAAAAACAAAAAGCTCAGGAACTGACACATTAATGCATCACAATCAGCAATAACATCGGAGCCCTCCTCCCTGCCCTTTCACTTTGTTTTAGCC